ATTAAGAAAGAGACTAACTAAATCTTCGGAGGCGGAACACCCCAGCCCCAGCCGGAGTATTCCGTTATTTGTGCAGGTACAGGCTAAGGAAGGAGCATACTAGGAAATTGTAACTCTCCCGTAGAACACATAAAAAACCCCCAAACAATATATATATATATATATATATATATATATATATATATATATATATATATATATATATATATATATATATATATAATTCCCAAAGAAGTTCATAAACAATAATTGAATGAGCCTTATGATTAAAAGATAGATGTGTTGCATGATGATTATCATTCATGTAAAGTTCATAATAATTGCAAACATGAGTACATAATTTTCATTTGAAATAAAATTAATCTAAGCATGACAATGTAAAAAGATTAATTAATTAGTTGAATAATGTATTCACTATGCACATATTTTTGAGAATCTTCAATATAAAGATTCATGTAATTGGGCAAGAGGAAAAGAATAATATTGTTTTGTTTGATACATGCATTGCTACAAAAAAAAATTATGGCTTAAAAGGAGTAAGGGATTTAAAGAGTGGTGGACTATTTTTATACCCCCCACATGCAAGGATTACGGGGAGATAGTGTTTATTCCATGGTTTTTATGTAATCCTTGCACATGAATAATTAAATATGTTGATGGTCAGTTTGGTACATACACTAGCATAAATATCAACGATTTATATAATAGAGGTGGCCACATGATAATCAAATATTTAGAATGATACTATCCAGAAAATGGATATGAATAAATAACTTTTTACCAGCTATACATGTACATATTAAGTTGATGTCCTAGAAGGACAAGATCAATTGCTATTGAAACTAGCACACCTGAAGTGTGGTAATCCAAAGGGTAACAACAGTAAGAATCCTTGGAAGAGGAAAGGAGCAATAATAAACAATGACAAATTTGAGAAAGTGACACATTTTGATGGATCTCCTGAAGAGATCATTTCTAGTACTTTAAAATGTGTTATGACTATATAAAGTACTCCAAAAGAGTATAAAATGTTGTCCAACAAGGTTGGCATGTATCAAAATTACAATCAATCCTTCAGTGGAGTATGGTGAATTGTCTTGCCAATTGTAGAAAGAAACACATTGGTGTACTTATATCACATCATACTCATGGCCATGCATAAAGTATCTCTAATAAGGTGATCACCATTATTATGAAACTAACCATAATTTAAATACTAAAGGAAAAGTGATTGGATGTGATAATTAAATTAAGGCCATTCGGGTTCAATAAATACCCGTTATGCATGGAAACCTGAAGTTTCATTTGATAATGTGTTGACACTCTCTCAATGTTAGATATATGAAATGAATTAAATGGCAAGACATAAAATTGAGATTGAGCTATAATAATTTATGTTGATGAAAATTTCAAGCGTTAATATAGGTTTTGATTTTTGTATATACGAAAGAGTAATAGGTGACCAGAAGCTCATCAAAATTACTTATATATTATTGTCAAGTATTAGATGACCAGAAGCTCACCGAATACACTATTTAGGTCTTCAAAGATCCAGGAAATCACTATATAGTGGCTTTACATACAAATGATTTCATTATTCTTGATTAGGGTTATTTTATGTCAGCACATAAGAAATAGAATAAGAAAATAGACAACTGCATAACACATGTCTCCCCATTGACATTAATCTCCAGAAGAGAACATATTATGGAAATTGTAATAATAATTATACATGCAATGTAAAATTCATGAAGAAATGATTCTACATTGAAATTCTTCTCCAGAAGAGATAAATGTTGTTTAATACAAATCTTCTGAGAGATAAATTTTGATTGTGATCCTCGCATGAAATATATTTTAATGCAATACTAAGTTGGTATAGAATTATACGCCCCTATAAATGAGATATTTTACCAATTTAGGGGGAGAAGAATCAGCAAAAGTTGGAAAATGGAAAAGAATTTGATGATCCCTATAATGGTAGTTTGAAAAGTTATATGCCAACTTTTGTTTGTATAATATCAAGATATGTTGCACATTTATGATTTGATTTGTATTCAGTTATGACTCATGTTGCATAGCGTTGAAGATACATTTTGGTCATATTATGTGTATACATTGAGATAAAATCTTGCCAATTATACTTGAATCACTACACCTGAAGTGTAGGTTGGATGACCAGTTCCAAAATAAAGATATGATATGTGGCAAGATAGTGCAGTTAACACTTTTAACAGTGTAATAGTATATAAATACCATAATGTATGAAATACCCCAAATAGAAGTGGTATATATATAGATATCTGAAGTATAATAGATGGCCTATGACATGAGAAAGTCATAATGGTACGTACCAATTGAAAATGTATTCAGATATCATTACAAAATAGCATGCGGAATGTAGATTAAAGAATTTTATGATGTCGGTACACAATGGAACCGATGAATAATGTGCATATAATATGAATGATAGAATGGACTAATGAATAAGGAATCTGAAATATATATGTCCATTTTGATGTCGACATAAAATGATCAAAAGTTTATTATGGACCAGAAGTCCAATGAGATATGGATTTTTAAATCTACACTGTACAGTGTCTTGCATCATTTTGAGTCTTATGTTCATGTGCATGTGTGAGTCATGGGTTAATGAATTACTTATTGCATGTGTAGGAAGTTGTTAGATGCATTACTCATTGTACATTTTGCTCAATATCTTATCATGATTTCTATATCTCAAATTGCATGCATTAGTTTCTATATTGTCTTTGTGGTATATGTAATGTTCATTATATATATAGTAAGATATATTTACAAATTTAATGGAAGGAAAGACATATTTATATTCCAATGGGCTTATAATTATGATAAAATTATATATGACGTTGATCTAATATTATTTATGAATCATGTAAGAAAAGTTCCCGAAAAACTTATATGCAACGTATGTATAGCCCTACAAATTTTATTGCAATTATTATCAAACTCTTGAAAAGTCTATGTGACTACATCATTGACATCTCAACCTGAAGTTTGAGCATATGAAAGTTAGTGAGATTTGCATTTTGTATTTGCAAGAGAGCTATCATGTCAATTATGAAACGTCTAAAGAATATCAATGGAATACTTATGCGTGAGAATGTTTTATTATGGTCTAGAAGAACCATGATCAATGTATATAATTACATATGTTATATTAATTCATACGAGATTGAATAGCAACATTTATAATATCATGTGTTGCCATTAAGGAATGTTTGATCAAATAATGATCATCGATTTCTATTATTCACGACCATCAGAAGAAGGTGTTACCGCATAAGTTTAAAGTAACTTTATTCAAACAAAGGTTTGGAATGATATAGAGATAAATCCATACATGGTGAAATGAAGATACTTTATATGTTCACGTGAAGACTTGAAGATGCAAATTCAAATTAGGAGGGTCAAAGAGCAAGGAATGGTATTCTATTACATATGAGAAGACACCTCGCCATATTGGATTCATTGCAGCACTAGATAATCTCAAGTTATGTATTCATTAGGGGGAGAAAATACGCGCTGCACTCTTTTTCCCTTGACCATGGTTTTGTCCCACCTTGGGTTTTCCTGGTAAGGTTTTTAATGAGGCAGCATCTCGAGCGTATTACGAAAAATGTTGTACTCTTTTTCCTTCATTAGGTTTTTATCCCACGGGGTTTTTCCTAATAAGGTTTTAACGAGACACACTCTTCGATAATAGACATCCAAGGGGGGGTGTTATGAAATATTATGTTGTGTGGATATCCATTATCCTCCTTTATCATTTTGGAATGTTCTAGATCTAGGGTTTATTGTTATCTAAACAAACCCTAGTTATATTGTATGTATATATATCCCCAATCTATGGAATAATACAAACTGATCAATTCTCTCACATTTCTCTCATATTTCTCCTTATTTTATAACAATTATGAATTGTTGTGTCGTTTTCAGATTTGTGCTTACCAATTATAGTTGCCTATGTTACTAAAAATATTTCAAACAACATTTTTCGAATATTTTGGTGGTTTTCTGCTATTGTCGACAACCTAAGACCATTTTCAACCATTATTGTTGGCGGCCTTCAAATCTCCTATTTATTTATCAATCAATATGCCTTTGGTTACTTGTGTGCCTTTAACAGTTATAGTATTCCAACAAAAAATCCAAATCCATTTGAAATCGATAGGATGAGAAGACCCATTTCACTACTTCAATTGAAAATAGGTATATTCTGCAAACATACCCATTTTAAAATTGGAGACGATTAATGGAGGAAGATTAAGTCAATTAAACCGCAAAATATTTAACATAATATATTCTGCAAGTAATATATACACGTTTACATTGTTAATTGGAATATATCCTATTTGAACACCCTAAAATTGAAAATTCTGAAACTTATTTAACTCGAAATTTCTTAATATTCTCAGGTAAACAACAATTATTTTGTTCAATTAAACCGAATAATCTTTGCGGTGGATGTAAATTTAAGCTTCTGTAACGATAATTCAGCAGCTTCAAGGTTTTTTTTTTCATCTTCCATCATCGCCCATTCGGCCCTTTCTCTTTAACGCTGTTCATTGAGTTGCAGAAATGATTTTTTTAAATATTAAATTAGTTGCATTGGAAATGACAATTATTTGAAATTCAAACCTTAGGTTAATCTGAAATTTCAATCACATTTGAATGAAATATCAAAAGTAGTGGATTTTGGGCCCAATTAGAACAACCAATGAAAAGTTGACATTCAACATTGTATGTGGCTCCCACATACATTGATTATATGTGTAGCCTTTTCGAAAATTCTAAACAAACACAATTGCATATTGGCATCCAGTCTATCCACCCTCTTCAAATACGATAATGAGTTAATGACTACTCCTTATTACTCTTTCATGAAAAAAAAAATCCTCCAAATCCAAATCTGGTAACATTTTCCTCTAAACAATTTTACCAAGTTGCAAACTTGCTTCACCTACCTAACCTAACCTCCTTTAATCTTTACATAAAAATATATTATAAAAAAAAAAAAAAAAAAAAAAAAAAAAAAAAAAAAAAAAAAAAAACTTGAGCATTAATGATTAGTCAAATTGTACCAATTCAACTCTAATTACCAATTGATCATATTATCTACTCCACCTTTTTAAAATTGTTTAATAGTAAATCAAATCAAGTTGATTATACAGTGAAATCAAGTTGGATGGACTATTATATACGAGAAAAAAAAAAAAAAAATCACACAAAATCCGATTTTCCGAATCTCAACTTTTGTCACTTTTTGCCACCCACAAGAATATAAATATCCTGCCTTTTTTTTTTCTTCCTCTTTCTGTTCTTCAACAAAACCAAACAACAGAAATCCCCCAAAAAAACATAAATCCTCTTTTTTCTTTTTTGTTTTTCTTTAAAAATCCCAACATTTAATGCAAAATATTCTGTCTTTTTAAAGGGTTTTGCATGTTTCAAGCTTATTAATCAAAAAGTAATCCATTTCTTCTAAGATTAACTACTATAATGGCTGAAAAATTTGAAATTCATGTTTTAGCTGTTGATGATAGTTTTGTGGATAGAAAGGTTATTGAGAGACTCTTAAAGATTTCATCTTGCAAAGGTATAAATATACTTGTTGTTGATGAAAGGGGAAAATTATTTTTTGTTTCTTTTTCTATTTTTGGCTAAATGGGTTAGTATTTTTTTTTTTTTGCAATAGTTTCTAAAAATGGGTTGTGTTTTTTGGAATAATTGTGCAGTGACTGTGGTGGAAAGTGGGAAAAGGGCATTACAGTTGCTGGGATTAGATGAAGAGAAAAGCTCTGTTGAGTACACAGTATGTACAATTTTCATTTCATTTTATTATAAAAATAATAAATTATACTATGTTTGATGAATTCATTATATTGTGATGTTTTATTAGGGATTGAAGGTGCATTTGATTATCACAGATTATTCCATGCCTGAAGTTACTGGATTTGATTTGCTGAAAAAAATCAAGGTTATCTTTGCCTCTTTGAATCCTTTCTTACAATTTCTATGATTCTGCCCTTTGATATTATTAGTTTTAATTTGTACTTTTGTTTGGTAATTTCTGCTGGAAAATGCCATTTTCAGCCTTATAATATGCCTGTTCTTATATATTTTGGCACTGATTTAAAACTAGAGTATTGTATAGATGATGTTTTGATTAAATTTTGTGGCTTCCTTATTTGGAGTCAGAATATAATAATTCTGAATTTAGGCACAAATTCTTTAGACTTTGAGTATTAAACAGAATTTTGAGTATAATTCTGCTGTCTGTCTTCCACAGGTTCTTGATGTGATTTCTTTTTCTCTTGTTCTAATTTTAGCAGGAATCATCAACATTCAAGGAAGTGCCTGTGGTGATAATGTCATCTGAGAACATCCTTACTCGAATCGATAGGTATGGCTGCTTAGACAATTCTTGATAGTTTGATAAGGATTATAAGCTAGTAATAGTAAAGAAATTTGCTTTACCTAGTGAGCTTGATCTGGTGGTAACACTACTACCAAGCTAATTTATGGTCACATGTTCGAATTTTGCCTACAGGGACGGGGTTGACACATAAAGGGTCCGATTGATTTGAGTCCTGCACCTTACCATTTAAGAAAAGTGTCATGAACTTTACTTAGTAGGCCTTTATGAAGTTAAGCTTTGTGAACCATCTTCTTAATTGTAATTTGGTTTACAATTTTGTGATGAAAAATATTAAAGTCATATTCTTGCCCGAATTGCAAACAATGAACTCAGGGTGTGATAAGGCAAATTCAATCTGTTTCTGTTTCTGTTTCATCAGACAAGAAGTTTAATCCTGTCTGACTTTAGACATGCATGAATGCACGCAGATTACTCGTAACCTTAACTGGCATTAGTTTATCTTTGTCAAATATTGCAAATCGCATGCTTAAGATTTGATAATCTTCGTGATAGTGATATGAACACTATATAGATAATATAATTATCATATGGTCCATATGGTCAATTGAATTTACACCCACCTTTTGTTTGTTTATCTTATACTGTAGCATCTTGTTTCTTGTACCTACTTGATCTATGATGTCCTTGCTGATTATTTTGATATTCTTCAACTTTAATCTATTCAATGAGATCTTGAAACTATTATATTTAACGATATGCTTTGATCTGGTGACTCTTGTAATCAGGTTCCACTAAGTTTAAGGTATTAAGTACCTGTTAAAAGTAGGATATTCGATGAGCATAAAGAATAATCCTTAATTAAATCAAGTCAATGACGACTATCATAAGAAACAACAAAATCTATCTATGAATTTCATCATTATATACTCTTAAGAATATATCTAAAAGGGTAGAAGATTTCTTCTGTACAATGTTTTTTTAAAAAGTGTTGAATTCGTACTTAATAGAAAAAGATTGTGATATATGGAGTATAGATTTTTAGCACTTACCGTGCATTATGCTAAAATTTAGGCGTCGCACTATGTTTAATTGGATATAGAACTCACTTTGTCAACACTCTTCGTGTGATGGTAATATAATCTCAGTATTAGATAAGTAACATTAGTGTTTTGAGCTTGTCAAGACGTGTCTTTGTCAACTCTATATAGGCATTTTGATGGCATATTATAGTTTAATGTCTCTAATTATATTGCTGCACAGGGTGCTGTACACCATAAACATTCCTTTTCTGACTTGGGACTGTGCAAGTGTGCAAGCTCAAGTTTTCTTTTTCTAGTAACTTACCAACACCATTACAATTGTCCTCAATCAGATGCTTGGAGTTGGGAGCAAAGGATTATATAGTAAAGCCTGTGAAACTTTCAGACGTGAAGCGCATAAAAGAATTAATCATGAGTACAGGTGACTTGGATAAAGCTAAGGAAATTGGTATTTGTAACCCAAGTAGTCTACAGGTCAAAGGTCTGTCATCACCAAAATCATTCCCATCAGCTGCACCTTCACCTTGCGTTATCAATCCATTACGTCTCAGCTTTTCGTGTTCTTCACCAAAGTGTGTTTGCAGATCAAGGCATCTCAGGTTTCGTAGCAGAAGCTTGGAGTATCCTTCAGAGTTGTCGCTACACTGACCTGTTATTCTCTGTGGTTTTCTTGTGCCTGAAAGAGAGATTTTTGTGTGCATATGATGAACTGTAAATGAAGAGAGAACAAGAGAAATTTGAGGGAGAAAAGCCGAAAGTCTAGCAAGAAAAAAAGGATTTCTTTTTTCTCTGAACAAAACAGTATATTTTTTTCCTGACTCAAAAACAATGTATGTTGAAATGGATTTTACTCAATAGCAAGTAATTCTTGGCTAAGTACCTTTTGAAAAAATTCATGTGGATTGATTTTATGCTTCCTATTATAACATGCAAGAAAACTAGCTAATGTAAAATTTTCACATAATATGGCGTATGCCTTGTTCAAGCTGTGTTAGTCTTAAGGAAAGGGGGGACTTATTTTCACATACTTGGTGTAAAAGTCATAGGGATGATTTAGAGTCCTTCACAAGAAAAGTACTCTAGTCTAGTGCTAAAAACATGAGTAACTATAAACTTATACGAAGTACTTCGTGATAGAAATGTACGTGGTTATTGCTTCTCCGTGTTAATTATTGTTACTTGTTAGTGACTTAGTGTGTATAAGCCAAACTAATTCGATATTTTTTTGTTCAACGAGGACTTGAGGAATAACAATATATAATGAAAGATAAAATTTATGAATTCGCAAAAATATCCATACGCATAAATAATTAAATATTAAAAAAAAAATTCAACCTCAATTAATGTATAAAATGTATCAAAAGGTGTTGGAAATAGTGACCCTCTAATATTGCGTTTTTTAAGCTATGTTTCTATTTTTGGAAATTACACATTGTAACAATCAGACTGAATATTCACTTGTTTGAGTTGTTTCTATTGGACTCTCTATGTTATTGATGCAAATCATGCAACAATAACAATGCAAGAATTGTTGCACTTTCAAGATACTCTGTTTCCTCCTCCCTTTTAAATTCACCAGTCACCACCATTAACACACCTCCTCTGAAGGCAGCAACAACCCGACCACGTCAAATCGTTACAATGGTCCAAGGTATTCATCTTTACTTTTTCATATGAATATCATTGATCATCAATTCATCATACTACTTTTTTTTTTTTTTTTTTTTTTTTTTTTTTTTTTTTTTTTTATCATGAAAACAAATTTTGAATTATTCTTTTCAACAACTATACTTTTGTGTCATGTCCTTTATTTTGGTTTTTTTCTTAGAATCACACTACCTTGTAAATGCTTAGTTATAAGTTACCGCAAATTTAAAGTTTTTATAATTTACTTTTAATCTAAAACCCTACTATGTTAAACCAATTTATCAATTTGCCAATTTCACCCAATTTATATATAGTTCTTACTCTTCAATTGTGAATTAAGGTTTTTAATTCGGGGATAAATTATTGAAATCGTTGAATGTGAGCCTCATATATGGAAATTTTGATAATATCCAAAATTAATCCTCAATAATTGTGTGTGATTTCCAAATAAACATATCCATATTATACACTGTTGCAATAATGATGATCAATTGTTGTAAATGGCTAAATGCATACCTTTTGGAAGATGAGTCTCACAATAATCCCACTAGGGGCTATGTATTTGAATGTGTTATTCGTGTTGTTTTGTTCAAAATCAATTGTTGCATCAAATTAGTAATGTGACAACTAAATTTGAATGGAGTTTATAATCGTTAACGTGCATTTGTAAATTATTGATATACCTGTTGTATTAGTATACTACTAAAAAATGGCTTGTTTTTCTGTTATGTTATAGGATCTTTGAATAGTGAGAATCAAGTACTTAATCTTGAAGAACCCCTTTTGGATCATGGTGTTAATAATGCTAAAACAAGAGGGTGTGATACTGTGACTCCTTACGAAAATGCCGGTCTTTTCCATACTCTCTTTTTCTCTTGGTTAACTCCTTTACTTGCATTGTGCATCGAGAAATCAACCTTAGAGCTTGAAGATATTCCTCAACTAGGCCCTTCTAATAGTGTGTTTGGAGTATTTCCAGTGTTCCAAAGGCTTTTTGAGTCATCGTCACTAGCCGATAAACAAGATAATGTCAGTGGTGGTGGTAGTATTAGAGTTGTTACTACTAAGTTTGGGCTTGCAAAGGCATATTTCTTGTTGGTTTGGAAGGAAATCTTTTGGACAGCTCTCTTGGGGATAATATACACACTAGCTCAATTTGTTGCTCCATATCTTATTGATAGCTTTGTTCAATGCCTTAATGGTAGAGAGATTTTTAAAAATCAAGGCTATATTCTTGCTTTGACATTTTGTGCCACAACTTTTCTTGAGAATTTCATACGGAGACATTGGATCTTTAAAATGCAACAGATTGGAATTAGGATTCGAGTAGTGACAACTGTAATGCTATACAATAAGAGCTTGACCCTTCCTTCTTGGTTGCCACAATTACAAGGCGACCAGCAGGGTAGTGGTGGTAGTGGAGGAGAACTTATCAATGCCATGGCTGTTGATGTCGAGAGAATCGAAGCTTTCATTGTTTACATGCATGATACATGGTTAATCTTTTTCCAAATCGGTTTAGCTTTGCTAATTTTATACAAGAAGTTGGGATTTCTTGCCACCGTTGGTTCTTTTGCTGTAACAATAATTTTTGTGGTAGCAAACTCTCTATTTATGACATGGCAGGAGAAGTTTCAAAAAAAGCTTATGGAATCTAAGGATAATAGAATGAAGGCAACTATTGAGACTCTAAGGAATATTAGAGTTCTTAGGTTTCAAGGATGGGAGATGAGTTTTTTGTCTAAGATTTTTCAACTAAGAGAAGTGGAGATGCAATGGTTGAAGAAATATCTATATAGTTCAGTAGTGATGGGTTTTTCTTATGAGATAGGTCCAACTTCAGTGGCTTTGGTTGCTTTTGGCTCTTGTATATATATGGGAATCCTGCTTGACATGGGGCAAATTTTGTCTGCACTTGCTACCTTTCGGGTTCTTCGACAGCCCATCTTCCTCCTACCTGATACTTTATCCTTGCTAGTCCAAGCCAAGGTTTCCCTTGGGAGAATCGCCTCTTTTCTTTCCCTCCATGAGCTCCAAGATGATGGTTTAGAGAAGCTGCCATTGGGCAGTTCTGATACATCAGTTGAGATCGTTGCTGGGAACTTCACTTGGGATAGTAATTCTTCATCTACTACTACGGCAACATTAAAAGACATAAATTTAAAAGTGTCTTGTGGTATGAAGGTTGGCATATGTGGTACAGTTGGTTCAGGTAAGTCGAGCTTACTTTCTTGCATTTTGGGTGAAATGCCTAGGATCTCAGGGGTAGTTAAGCTGTGTGGGACAAAGGCTTATGTTGCTCAGTCACCTTGGATACAGAGTGGTACGGTTCAAGAGAACATATTGTTTGGTAAGGATATGGACCGACAAATATATGATCAAGTACTCGAAGCTTGTTGTCTTAAAAAGGACTTGGAAGTCCTTTCATTTGGTGATCAAACTATTATTGGTGATAGAGGTATCAACTTAAGTGGTGGACAGAAGCAAAGAATACAAATTGCTCGCGCTCTCTACCATGATGTGGATATTTATCTATTTGATGACCCTTTCAGTGCTGTTGACGCTCATACTGGTTCTCATCTATTCAAGGTGAAGTATATTTACCATTTATTTTTACATGTAAAAAGTAGTAAGATTATTAAAATTTTGATTTTGTAATACTATCTGATTTTTTATTACAGGAAGTATTGCTTGGTGTACTGAGAGGGAAAACTGTTATTTATGTTACTCATCAAGTTGAGTTCTTAAACACTGCTGATCTAATTGTGGTGAGTTCAGTAATAGTCTGTTTTCTTCATTTTATTTCATTGCGAGATCATCAAGTCATCTGAGTTTTTAATGATCTTACGTATTTCTTCTAAGGTCATGAAAAATGGAAGGGTTGCACAAGTTGGAAAGTATGAAGACATTCTCGTTCCAGGGTCTGATTTTACACAGCTTGTAGGTGCACAAAATGCAGCTCTGTCGGCACCTATTTCTGCAGATAATACAAAAAGTGTAATCAGCCTTGAAAATGTGAATAGTGAAGTAGATGATGATGGGGGTGCTGCTAGTTCTGCACCTGCAGCACAGCTCGTAAAAGAAGAAGAACGTGAGAGGGGTAAAGTCGGGTTCCATGTCTATTGGAAATATATCACAACAGCATATGGAGGAGCTCTGGTGATTCTTGTAATTCTAGCCGCAATTATCTTACAAATTCTTCAAATAGGGAGCAATTATTGGTTGGCTTGGGCAACTCCACCGTCAAAGGATGTAAACCCTGCTGTTAGTGGATGTACGCTACTGATTGTCTATGCATCCTTGGCTATTGGCATATGTTTCTTCACCCTTGTTGTAGACACGCTTCTTGTAACCACGGGATATAAAACTGCTATCACACTTTTTAAAAAAATGATGGAGACCATGTTTCGTGCTCCTATGTCCTTTTTTGATGCTACACCTGCTGGAAGGATTCTTAACAGAGTAAGTTATCAATCATCTACTCAATTGTATTTTTTGTTCACAAATCATATTTAAGTCACAATCTATGTTACTAGGACTTGGGTATGTACTCGTGAAAGACTTGACTACTTTATGATATTTTCCATGTTTTACTGAAATAAAGTGTCGGTTGGGAAAAATACTAAGTATATCACAATTCACAATAGAGATACTAGATTCAATTTTCATTTACTGATTAGTTTGATCACTCTATGATATAGTGTTCTACTGATCAAAGTGCTGTGGAGACTCGAATTCCGTCCATACTTGAGGGTCTCATTTCCCTCACCATCCAACTTCTAGGAATAATTGCTTTGATGTCTACAGTAGCATGGGAAGTTTTGTTTATATTCATCCCCTTGATCTTCGCCTCCATCTGGTATCAGGTAATGCTTTTAAAATGGTGATTCTACAAGTATGCCTATATTTTCGGTATGCAGTAGCTGGCAATTATGTAACAAACACTAATCAAATATTATATGTAGCAATACTATATGCCTGCATCAAGAGAATTATCACGATTGAGTCGAGTTTGTGAAGCTCCAGTTATTCAATATTTTGCTGAAACAATTTCGGGAATAACAACTATAAGAAGCTTTGATCAAGAGTCAAGATTACAGCCAACATATATGAAAATCGTAGATGCGTATTCTCGCCCTGAATTCCAACTTGCTGCTGCAATGAAATGGCTAATGTTGCGGCTGGATGCATTCTCTTGTGTTACATTTTCCTTCCTTTTGGTTCTCTCGTTGTACTTCAGAGAAAGCATAGATCCTGGTATGTTTTAGTATTGTTTGTATCTTTTTCTTTATTTGTATCCCTTTGTAATGGTAAATATGATACGGAGTAATATAAGTTTTATTTCATGGGTGCAGCAATTGCAGGGTTAGCCGTGACATATGGACTCACCCTAAGTTTTAAGCTCTCTGCATTAATATGGTGTGTATGCCATTGGGAAACCAAAATGATATCAGTTGAGAGAATTCTTCAGTACATGAGCATTCCTATTGAAGCTCCTCTTATTATTCAAGAAAACAGGCCAGCTAGTTCCTGGCCGTCACGTGGTGAAATAAGTATTCACAATTTGCAAATTCAGTATGCTCCACATTTGCCACTCGTGCTACACGGGGTGACATGCACTTTTCCAGGAGGGCTGAAAACTGGTATTGTGGGAAGAACGGGAAGTGGGAAATCAACTCTGATCCAAGCACTTTTTCGGATAGTTGAGCCTACAAAAGGTCATATTGTGATCGATGACATTAATATCTCTTCCATTGGACTCCAAGATTTGAGATCAAAACTGAGCATTATTCCTCAAGATCCAACCATGTTTCAAGGAACTATACGAAGCAATTTAGACCCACTTGAGCAGTACACAGATGCACAGCTTTGGGATGTGAGTGTCTCTTTTCCTTTTGGTGTATAATTGAAGGATTAACTATACATTCTAACTCGAGTGTTGTATAACTTATAGGTTTTGGATAAGTGTCAACTTGGAGATGAAGTCAGGAACATGGAAAGAAAATTGGATTCTAATGGTTTTTATTCCTTTCCAATCACACTTTCGATATAAACTATAAGTTTTTTTTTTTATATGATGATCATACTAATTCCAATGCATTTTTTTTTTCAACAACGCATATAGTTCATGAGAACGGGGAGAACTGGAGCATGGGTCAGAGACAACTAGTTTGTCTTGGGCGAGTATTACTCAAGAAAAGCAAAGTGTTGGTCCTTGATGAAGCGACTGCATCAGTTGACACAACCACTGATAATCTTATACAACAAACTCTTAAGCATCATTTTGCAGATTGTACCCTTATTACCATTGCACATCGCATCACTTCTGTTCTTGACAGCAACATGGTCTTGCATCTTAGTCATGGTACAACCAATTGCCTTCCATGTACACATTGCACATTCATTTTTCTCAGGCACCAAAATTTAATTTTTCATTGTTATTTACAGTAATTGCCAATTCTCTTTTGTAGGGCTCGTTGAGGAATGTGGTTCTCCTACAAGCTTGTTACAAAACAAGAATTCTTCGTTCTCAAAACTTGTTAAAGAGTATATGTCAAGGTCCTCTAATTCAAGCGACGACCCTTTTTAGACTACTCATGAAGAATAGATGATGATGTTGTCATTGATATGGTGCTAGTGCGGGTCAATTGTTGCTGGCTTGCTGGCTGCTGCTCCAGAGTCCAGTCTTTCCTTCCACCTTTGGTCCGAAAACTCATCAGATGGATGTAGGCGCAATTAAACTAGGGGTAAAATTATAATCAAATATTGATAGAGACTTGATATCAGTTAGGACTTAGGAAGTAGGGTCAATTCATTGCATTACCATACAACTCAAGGGTATTGAGCTTGATATGGGTGTTTTTGACAAGACAACAGGAGATATTCGATCATTTTATAATAAACTGAGTGTTTTGCTCCTATATGGTTTATGCCAAAGTAATAGATTAACATGTTTTCATTTTTATTCTCTCTTTTGCTGGTTTATGCCTAAATTTTAGATCAACTTGTTCCCTTTTCATTTTCACATATTTCTTATGAAATTGATGAAGTGCGGATGATGGCTAATTCTGGAAGATGAAGATCATAGTTAATATCAATAACTCGGTCTTAATTATGACCTTCTTCCTACTTACATTTCTAAAACATGTGAAATACACATTTTGTCAAATTGGCTGTGTTATTTTTTAGTCGTCATGATTTGCAAAGCATCATTCAGGCAAACCTGCTTTTTTTGTTTAACTATAGTTTTCTCGATCTTGTCCTGGTAAAGGATCAGTTAACCTACTGTCACATAACTACATTACCTGATGCTATGAATTACATGTGTGAAAATCACAAGCACGTGAACTTGCATTTCCTTTACCTTCAAACACAATTTATTTATTTTTAGTCCAATCGGCATACATGATAGGGCTTAGTGATGATCGATTAATTTTCGAGTCTTCATCTGTTTATATAAGCTTAATAATTGAGGAGTCCTCTAGGACTATGGTGGCATATATGATATGTGTCTTTGGAAAAAGAACAAAGAAATTATGACTGAGCCAGCAGCCAAAGTGGCTTGAATTTGATGAAGTGGTGGTCTTGGGCAGGGCAGCGTTGCTGTAACATTATGTTGCTATGTTGAAGAGGAAGGTGCGTAGTTGATGCTGCTACATTATGCATTTGTTGTGTTTTCATTTAATTGCCACAAATTCCCCCCTTAACTTTCTGCAACTAACTGGAGCTCTTAATCTACATCCTGGTAGTGATCATTAAAAAATGACATGACACGGACTGCATAAATAAAAATTTGGAATTTTTACCTATGTATAATTGTTGCTTCAAGAATGCCTAAGCTTTGTGCCACCTATCTCTAAATGCAACTTTTCATTCTGTTTTCTGACTGGCTCAATTTGTGACAATGAATGCAAATATTACTAGAACTAAAGTAGTATTACCACTACCTACATTCCTGAGAATTGTAACTGTAATTTGTGGTTATTTTAGAGGCAGAAAAACTGCAGAATCTGTAACTCCCAAGTGCTGCATAATTTTCAGCTTGTGATTGCTTGTTTATGTGTTAACTGAGTTTTATTCCTGATTGCAAATCGCTAGATCTCTATTTAAATGCCACTATGGGTTGTTTTATTGCATTTTCGTGAGACAGATATGCTTGTATTTTGTAACTGTAACAGACTATTAACAGTAAATAGTTTAATGGAGTTTTGAAAATAAGGGTTGTCACATGTGGGAGATTATGTCTTAGAAAACGAAGCTTGAATGTTTATGGAACTACACTTCTAAGTATTTGAACTATTGGATCAGAGTAACAGCTGAAAGCAATGATTTCCATACGTATCACTAACATTGCTTTGTCCTGCCTATTTTATGTAAATTTTCTCATAGCTAATTGACACTGTGGCTCTCTTCGTAGTGATCGTAGTTGGTGTACGAATGAGAAAATGCCTGGTAGTCTTTGAGTTTATGTATCCCTTCAGTAAGAGAATGAACGAGGCTGTGATCTTGCATTCTACATTAGCAAAAAATGATCGGGGGGTAACAGTAATATTCAAACACTTTGCACTAGCTAGTTGTCCACTAGATTCCTATTGCTCAATATGAAAATGTGGCAATCTATTAAGGACGGTTTTAAACGGAAAATGGGGCAAACAATAAGAGATAGAGGAGTATACTATAAGGGAGTATCAAAGATTTAATGACTGATTCATCCGTAATAAATTGTTTCCCACTAATTTATCCGTAATAGATTGTTTCCTTATTACTTGTCTCTAACTATTTAAAGAAGCTTTGAGCCTTTAACTGTATCCCTAAAAAGATCATGCTGAAATCTTTTATAGTTTGATATGTTGTATATATCATTTTGTCCTTTAAATCGGGATTCAACACTTGAATTTTTGATTTGTTGACCCCACTTAATGATAGTCAACCCAGCCCGGTTAACGGTTTTTTTTTACTTATTACTATAAGATAGGATTTTATTTTATTTTTCACGGTAAGATACGGAGATCCCCACCCAATCACAGAAAGGAGGATGAGGATCGAACCCCAACCACTTGGGGAGATGGAGGGACTAACGTCTCCTATGTCCTCTCGGGTTAGCAGGTTTTGTATTTTTTTTTTTAGCAGGTTAGACCCCACTGAATGTACATTAATACTCCGAGAAGACAAATACAATTAAATCATAGTGTATGAGACTCTCTCTTCCCCAACCAGTATTCCACATTTCCACCCCCACTTTGTCCCGTTCATTTCTACAGTCACTGTCTCAATTTCCCTAAATTGATTTCAATGGCGGAACCAAGCAGCATCCAGATCACAACATCCGATGCCGAATTGCCAGATTTGCCGACAGAATTGTGGAGAAAGGTCTTTGCTAGGCTGCCGGCTAAAACCCTAATGAGATTCAGGTCTGTTTTATGCATCTTCAAATTTACAACAACAATCGCAATCAATCCTATTTGTTAGCTGCGGAATGGTGTAAGAGGCATCGTATGCATATTCATAGTAGAGATACATGTAGGAAAATTGATGAACTTTTCGAAATTCCTGAGAATTGGGTTGTTTTAGGGAGCTGTTATGGGTTGATTTTGATCAAGTACTTATGGTTTTCGGATAGGATTGTGTTCTATAATCCTTGTATTCTGAAGTCCTTGTTGATTCCTCCTTGCCCTTTTATATCAATGGGATACAAATTCATAAATTATTGGCCGGGTTTCGCTCCATCTAGTAATGATTATAAGGTGTTTGCTTTCGGGTATGTTAAGTATTCCGAGTTTTCGATTGCAGTTTATTCACTAAATGATCACCTTTGGAGGATTAAAGATAGGTTGGATGTTCGCATTCCAGGATTTTTAAGTTTCTATGGTGAAGTTGGGGATGTTCTTTGTTTCAAAGGTTCTATGTATTGTTTAGGATTTGATAAGTACAAGCCTGGTGTTGCGTGTGATTTACTTACTCTTCTTGTATCGTTTGATTATGATTCGGAAGAGTTCGACTTTGCAGATTTGCCTAATGCTGCAGAACAAAGTATTAAATTTAATTTCGTTCTTGGTGAGTCAATGGCATTCTTCAGTATGTCTTCTAAGCGTACCTGCATATGGGTTTTGGTTAAGGATAATGGAAAGTATTCCTGGAGGCTATGGTGTTCTGGAGATGCGGATTTAAATGCTCTTCAGTTTCTTGAAAGTGTTACTCATACGAAGATTTTCAATGTGGAGAAGAATACATTTTTCTTACAGAATGATGGTAGATTGAATTCTTATAAATTTAGAAGTCATCAAATACAACATTTAGAAGATTATATTGATGGCCCGACATCTTTTGAGACTTCTGTGGAGAGCTTAGTATTGCACAAAGGAATCCAAGGGAAGACTTTGGCATCCTTCCCGTGCAACTGTTGAATATAGAAGAAGATTGGTTGAATTTAGACAATTGCAAGTAAAGCAATGCGGATGCTCTTAATTTGGTCATTTTTTTGCCACAAATTGGTAAAAAGGTCTGTTAACCCTTTTTGACATTGTGTGATTATTGTATGGTTTTCGTGTGTTATAATACATTGGTTTATATACACCTCTTTTGACATTGTTTAATTTCATGATTCTTCATTTTTTCCCTGTACAAAGGATAGTTTACCTTTCTCATTTACTAGATGAATAGATGATGATGCTATCAGAGTATGATAAAACAAGATTAAGAGGGAGGGGTAGAGAGAGAAGGGGAGGGGGAGTATGGTTAATCACTTAATCTCTGTATGGAGAAATTTGATATATACTGCAATCTGTGAAGTTGCAGAGAGGGGGGGGGGGGGGTGGAGTATGGTTAATCTCTATATAGAGAAATTTGATATTTACTTCAATCTGCGAAGTTGCATCGACCTTTATTTTAGCATGGACTTCTTATCTGAGACAATTGGCATCTATGATTGGATAGGTATTATAAAATAAAAATGAAAAAGACTTTAGCACACCCTTGGGGGAATGCTCCGGGTGCTGAGAGTGCTTTCGCCGTTGGTGTTCTTTCCGATCTCTATTTTATCTAGTGGCATTCGATCACAGAATCCATTGACAGCTGCGATAGCTTCTGTTAGAGCAAAGCCCAAAATAGCATTTCAGCCACTTGTTTAATTTATAAGACAAACGAATGATAGAGGGACACTTACTAGCTTCACATTGATCTGCTTATGTTATAGTATATGATTGATGATTCCCTCAAACCAAACCTCCAAATTATACATTCTTATAAATAGGTAAAGCACTCTAGTCAAAATTCCTTTTAGAACAAAAATAAATACCATACTTCATAAGATTGGCTTCCGCTTTTGATTTATGGAAATCTCAGCTTGACACTTTTATGACACGATCCTCCACCACTAATATCAGTCCAATATCCTAATTGCCAAATATACTCCTCCCCGAATGAATCATGTAAACTAAGCCAAATCTATCATAACAATAAGTTATTTGAAAATTGGTTGAGCCTAGAGGTCATTAGCCAACTCTTTCCCATCCCTGGTGAGAAAGAAAAGTATGAGGGTCCAGGCACCTTTGAGGACATTGATCAACCTCACTATATTTCATAGATATGAGGATGTTAAAATCGGGAACAAGTTGTCTTTACTTTTTACAAATCAAAGGCCTACATCAATTAATCTAATGAGTATTCACAACAAATTGTGAACCATTGGCAATGCAACTTTATGTGGTTCTAAGTAGTTGAAGAGGATATGGTTGGGTTTATTATAATTACGATGGGCAGAAATGTGAAAACAATATCAACCCCGTCTGGAAAATGGCAAATGTATATAGTCTCCGGCGAAGCTAAGACCATAAGGCATAAGGTAATTGGATGTCACAAAAAAGATTTTCTACCTTATGCTATTTATGGGTGCCATCATTAGG